CGTTCATGCATGTCTTTTGCTTCTCTCTCCTTCCTCTTGATCTCCAGCTCAGCGAAGAGTTTCATGGTCTGTTTATAAACGGCCTGTCTGAACTACAGAAGCACAAACTCAGTGTGAGCAGAGTAAAACTGCACAGAAATCCTCAAAGCTGGAACACACACACAGCGGTTACATCATCCGGTTACCTCACACACATTCTCTCACACCTCAGTCACACGAGCTCTAATGGCCTGATTAACAGCGCAACACTGCTGGAGTCCTGATGAAACTAGCAGAGCTTTTCTTTCGAGTGTAACGGGTTAGAGAAGGAATGTAGGGCGGGGCTTGGTTCTGTGGTTGCTGTTGATTGGCTGTTGAGATGCAGGCGTGGCTCTCAACAGTGTATGCAGATGAGCGAGCGTGAGCTGCAGGGGCGGAGCTTAAACCGCACTCAGTGATTGGTAACATCTTAATAATCAGATCATTATTGAGCTTTAATCCACTAATAGTCCAGGTGATGTGTGGAAATTATGTTCACTTTTTCATAAAAGCATGAAACTTGCTCCACATGTAGTGTTTGCGGCCCTGGACATTTTCAGAAATGGAGCCATCGCAAAAACGCCTTGTGGCGGCCATTTTGCTTTACGCCATAACTAAATTATATATCATATCTCCTGAATTAAACATGATAACATGGAAACTGTGATGTCTACCCCTGTGTTTTGATGGTCAAGGATTACAATGATACCATATACAACATCATAAAGTGTTCAGGTGAGTAGCTAATGGTGAATTCAGTGACATTGTGAGGAGGATTACAATGAAACCGCAGTATCTGAGAATATCATCTGAAGCTGGGGCCACACTAAAAGATTTTTAAAATCTTATATTTTCAAAACGTGAGACCACAAACATGACGATAAAGAAATAATAGATTTATCCGTTTTGTTCCTCTAAGCAGGGATTCCCAAAGTGTGGTGCGCGCACCCCCAGGGGTACGCGAGCTGCCACCAGGGGGTGCGCGAGAGGAAAAATGTAATGGCGGTCTGTTTTGTAAGTGGGATTTTTCCATACAATAAAATAAAAACCATGAACAGTAAACATTTCCTTTGTAATGTGGGGATTGGGGGTGCGCCAACCCGGTAGGGACATAGAAGGGGGTGCGCAGGAAAAAAAGTTTGGGAACCGCTGCTCTATAGTGTGGAGTGCCACGATGTAACACACACACACACACACACACACACACACACCATTCAGAGACAACAGAGTCCCACTTGTGAACACAGTTAAATCTCGTAAAATCCCTCACATCAAACGTGACTTTAAAGTAAACAAACATGGCGGATGAAGAAATGGTGCTTATAGTGTATGGACAGCTTTTTAAGCCAGGGACACACCAAGCCGGCGGTCGGCCATTTTATTGTTTTTAAGCGTCGGCTGACTATGTTCCGTTGGCTCTAGTCAACACAGTCGGCTTTCGTGATAATCTCTCGAGCGTGTGCGCGGGTTTGTCCTCAGGCTTCCCCCACACAACAGGACTTCTGACTCGATCCGATCCTCGTTGCCAACCAACACCAGCAGAGCAGCCATAGCATGTGAATAGTCTGAGGCTAGCTGACATGGCTGGGGAAACAGAAACCAACAGGTCTAGGGGGGGGTTCATACTGTATTGCCCCTGGCTGTAGTAATGAATTGTATAGGGCTAAGGCAGCTGGGGTTACGATACATTTTCACAGGCTACCTTTGACAAGGAAACCAGCCCTCAAGTCAAGCTAGCTGCCTTTAACTGTCTAGCCCTCCGACAGCCCCTGGGTTTCCAGTCTGTAGTGAGCATTTTTAGTGACAGACTATTTAGTAGGCCTGTCGCGATAGTAGGGATGGGACGATTACCGGTTTCACTATAAACCACGATAAAATGTACTGACGGTTAGTATTATCGTTTAAAATTTAATTATCATTAAAACAGTGTTTGATTATCGCGATTTTAATAACTCACTATAAATCATGTCCACAGTTTGACGCAGCGCGCAAAGTTTTATTTATTTATTTTTTTATTCGAAAAGGAATGGCGGAAGGCAGTGACAGCGCTCGGGAGATTTTCCAGCCTTTTAAGAGGACCAAATCTGAGGTGTGGTCATATTTTGGCTTTTACAAAAGTCCTGAGGGAAGCTTGATCGAGGATGGTCACCCTGTCTGCAGACAAAAAGTCGCTGCAATAGAAACACTTCAAATCTGCCGAGCCGTCTTGTGTGACCATCACCCACTGTTGTATAGCGAACTCAAGGCAAGTTAACTTTGACCCAATACCAAAATTACGTCTGGGAAATAATTGGGCACAAAATGTTATTATGAGTTGAAATATTTTATCTCACTCACTTGAAATAAACGTGAAGCTTCCGCGAAGAAAAGTTTGCAGCAAGTGGCTTTGAGCCAAGACGAACGAACACGTTCAATTAAGAGTGACATGTAAGAGATAATAATGTAACGTTATATATTAATTGTACACCTATTGTATCGATTTTTTTACCACATAATTACGGGGACATATTGAATTGAGATTAATGTTTTAAATCTTACCTGTTAAATCTATTTTGTACAGCGTACAAAACTCATCCAGACAAGATGATCACAACAATAATATCAAACTCTGTAAATAATAAATCATCTCTGATTTCATTTTCAATACAATCAAAAACGGAGACGCAAGACTCAAGACAGCAAGTTGTATTTGAATGAAATGAGAGCGCGTGATACATGTGTAATAATGTGTTGCCATTGACGATGGTCATTATAAGGAAGGAAATGCTACAGAATAGAATCTTGCTTTATAATCTGCATAGAGCTGCTGGTTTTATTTGTTGTTTGTAGATGTATTAAATATAAAACCTTTAAAGATATTTTCAGTGTGAGCATAAGTTGTTTTTGAACACTTTAATCTCGTTTTAACAAAACCGTGATAATATCACGATAATTTTGGTCACTATAATCGTGATATGAAATTTTCATACCGTCCCATCCCTACGCGATAGTCAATAAATAAATTAATCGCACGACAAAAAAAATTAGCTCGATAATTTTCCGGCCGCCATAATTTCCATTTGCATGCGTGTTTGTTTTCCTCGTCTCTCTCTCTCTCTCTCTCTCTCTCTCTCTCCTCTCTCTCTCTCTCTCTCTCTCTCTCTCTCTCTCTCTCTCTCTCTCTCTCTCTCTCTCTCTCTCTCTCTCTCTCTCTCTCTCTCTCTCTCTCTCTCTCTCTCTACCAAAGAGACTGGATGACAACTCTCGGTTCCTTAGCGTAGGAAGAGTGAACTAGAGCTTATTCTGCCCGAGCGATATCCCCGACACTATCCTTGAGACGTGCACTCCCAACGCAAGAGTGCGGCCGCGGCACTAGATCTGATGGCCGAGCGCGGGCGCGGTAATGGTAATGCACTCACTCTGTGTGTGCGGGTTATAAATAAAACAATTCGCGGGACTCCCGCAAACTAGAAATATCTATGAATAAAACATAAAAACGAATAGATTTTTATTCATCTGTTGCAGAAAAGCAACAAGAACAACTAAAACACTTTACAAGCCAGAGTTTCTATTCATAATAACGCTTTAACATCGCGTTGAGTGATGTAGCCAATCACAGTTATATGTGTTGCTTCTGATTGGCCATTGCGTTCAAGAAATCATTTAAGATAGACTCCCTTTTTGGTATTTATTCAAGTGCATGTTTTGTACCAGAGACTGTTCTCTGCAGCAGATTGACTCGGGTCCAGTGTCCATGCTCCGGCAGCTCACACACACACACACACCAGTCACTTCGCCCCAAACGATCCTGTGCTGTCTGTGGAGCTGAAACTGATCCTCCATGTGGTGGTGGTAGTCAGAAACTACTGGACTGTCCCTCACAGGTTCAAATGCGTAACCCATGCCGTTAAAGTGCTCATTTTCGCCTGTGTATTAGGACCTGCACCGCTGCGTGTCCTACCATGCCTGTGACGTCATCGAAACTGCCAGCGTTCTTATACTAACCAGCGCACTTTTGTGTTGCTTAAAAAAAGCTATATTGATATTTTTAATTACATTTTTTAGTGTAATTTACTTTTAATTGTCATAAACAACACGTTACCAACATTGATTTTTTTCAGTTCAGTTCATCTATAAGCTATGTTGCTACGGTCATATTGAATCTACTCTTTACAGTCACTGTATGATCAGGGTTAATGAACAAAAGGATTAAGCTTTTTAAACTCTACACAACAGACATGATATTATAAAGTCTAGCCTAGGTTCTCAGATACGGTGATTTCCTTTTCATAACCCTGAATTCACCATTAGCTACTCACCTGAACAGGTTATGATGCTGTTTTATGGTATCAATGTAATCCTTGATCATCAAAACACAGGATCGTTTCTGTGTTATGTTTGATTCAGGAGATTTGATACAAAATACATAATTTGGCGGGAAGAAAAATGGCCGCCATGAGGCGTTTTTGCGATGGCTCCATTTCTGAAAATGTCCAGGGCTGCAAACGGTACATGTGGAGCAAGATTCATGCTTTTATGGAAAAGTGAACACATCACCTGGACTATAAAGGGACTAAAGGTCACTCAGTGTGTTCGTACCATTTCCGGGTCGTCTTCCTCCACATCGATGGGCTTGCCGTCCTTCTTCAGCTGCTTCTTCTTCTGGCTCATCTGAGACACACACACACACACACACACAGGGGATGGTGAAGCGTGACTAACACACACTGACTGAGCTCTCGAGTCTCGAGGGTTTCTCACCATGTGCTCCACGTACTCCTTCCCCGCGTGGACCACGTCTAGCGCTTTCTTCTTCTGATCGGGTTCCAGCAGCATCTTATAGGCCTTATCCACCGCTGAACACACACACACACGCACACGCGCACACACACACACACACACTGCTCATCAAACACACGGAGACTCCAGGCATCATCAGATCATCATGTCTGTGGTTTACCTTCAAACGCCAGCTGAGCTCGATCCACATTATCCTGGTTCTT